TAATGCATTCCTATGGGCTTTTTTTGCATAGCGACGAATCCGTATAGCGACGATTTTTGCTGAACAGATTATCGTTGCTATGCAGGGCACCACTTTATATAAATAGGTATTTCTGGCTTTTATTTAGTGATTTCAGCCAGTAGATAAGTGAACCAGCAGATACTAATTCCACAGATGGGGGGGGGGTGGGTCCTACTATACTATGTTCCTCTATCTCCACTACAGATAAGATAATCTACAATGTACAATGAAATGTTTTCTCCATAGGGAAGGAAGACCAGTGAAGCAGTGCTTCCGAATCGTGGCAAAAACAGCGTGTAGGACAGAACAGGGCACGCAAATAAGAGCTCAGAAAAGTTTACATTTTCCACATCTACTACTAGAGCCCCTTCTAGTCCACAGGGTGGGTGGTTTTCCACTGCAGTGTTTGGAAGAGTTACTTTTTTTGGACTTCTGTTCCCCGACTCACTTAGCCAGCAGAACCTTATTTTGCTGGCTGAGTGATTCTGAAAATTTCATATATAAAAAAAACAAACTTCTTCAAATGTTGCCATGGAAAACACTAATGCAGGGAACCAGGACATTTTGAAAGAACATCTCCCTCCGGCAGCCCAGGGCATTGCGGGAGGTTTTCAACAAGGGTCTCCAAAGCCGTCATCACCCGATGGCATTGGAGGCTGCCCACAGAGAACAAGGGTTGCCAGAAACCCCAGGGAATTATGTGCTGGTCCTGATCAATTTCACCCACTTGTTCACTCCATATAAGTGGGGGGTGGCATTTGAAGTCAAGACAGGAAACATTCTTTAAAAAGCTTGAAGGAGACACAGCATCGGATCAGGACTGAGGTGGGCAGGGAGTGGAAGTGACACAAAGGAAAAGGATTCCAATACAGAGCCAAATCAAGGGACGATTATTTTTCCAGCAAGCAGGATTTTAAGTCAAGTCCCACCACAACGATTCGGGGGGGGGGGGGNATACCCCAAACATACACTGGAGTCCAAGCACCACGTAGTCACATGAGAAAATACATTCAGAGCCCATTTTGTGCACAGCAAACAAATACAAACAATTTAACTTTAGGGTCAAGGGAGTGTATTTGTTACACCTTAACTCATACTCTGGGGAAAGACCTATCCTCTTGTCTTCTACATGTTACTACAATATAGGCAGCAAATCCATCCATCCATCCATCCATCCATCCATCCATCCATCCATCCATCCATCCATCCATCCATCCATCCATCCATCCATCCATCCATCCATCCATCCATCCATCCA